TGGCTAGTAAATAAGGTATGAGCTTTCACTCTCAGTGTCTGTATATCAGCGGTGTTGCCACCAACCCAGTCAGGGTCACTAGGACTGATTTTTAAGAAAATACAGAGGCATATCCTCGCCACTGGTGCACTGGGGTCCCAGGCCCCAGGCACGGCTCGGAGCATCTCCCTCTTCTGTTGCTAGGAAACAGGAGTCCAGCTGTATACTTTCCCCCATTTGCCCTCTGCTCTGTAGTCACTCTGGACTTCTCTCTGTGTGGGCTTTTCCCCACCTCAGGCCCTTGCCCAGCCTATTGTCTCTGCCTGGAACCTGCAGGGCTTTTTTCCTCTGCTCTGACTCCATTCCACCCTTCAGGTTCGAATCTTTTCTCTCCTAAGTCCCTTCCCGGAGCATTGCATCTTGGTTCAGTATTGCTCAGATGTAGCCTCTAAGCTAATGGTTTGGTGCTGAGCTAATGATTGGGAAATATAAGAAACACCAGTTTAAAAAACAAAACAAAACAGCAACAACAACAAAAATGGGGATGGGAAGCAGAAAGTAAGGTAGAGTGAATATATATATATATATACATATATATGTATATATATATGTGTGTGTGTGTATATATGTATATATATATATGTGTGTGTGTACACACACATATATATATATATATATATGTGTGTGTGTACACACACATATATATATATATATAGTAAAAGTTTTTATTTCAATTATTTCATTTTATTTTGTTTGTGTGTGTTCCTGCATGCACATGCATACATGTGAAGATCAGAAAACAGTGCAAGTACAGTTAAATTCCAAGAATTTGGAATTAATGCAGTCACTGAGAGTGCCCCAACCAGAAAAGCATGAAGAGTTGGAGGTCTACAGTGTTTGCCTCTGAGCTTGGGATGGGAAGATGGTCCCTAAAACTGCTATCCACCTGTGGATGGATGTGCAGGTGTAGACTGGTTATGAAAACCCAGGTTATCAGCACTTGGAGTTTCTCTTTCTGGGCTCACTCTGATCCTAGCCAAGTCTGGCCTCTCTCATTAAGCACATGGCGCCATTGCTACATCACTACTGCCTCATACAGGAAATCACTCTGTCTCCAACATGTCTGCCACCTATTCTAGGGATAAGAAACTGTTCAGCCTGGTTTGGCTGTTCTAGAAGCATGGATCATTTTTTTTATTTATTTAAATTCTTTTGATTTGTGTGTGTGCATGTGTGTGCATATGTGTGTGTGTGTGTGCACATGCACAGATGCTATGCTACACATGTGGAGGTTAGAAGACAACTTTTGAGGGTTGCTTCTCTTTCCTGACCTAGTTGAAGAAGGATCTCTTGTTTTGCTGCTGCACTACATACTGCGAGCTCACTAGTTAGTGAGCTTCGGATCTCTGCTTCCCAGGGTACCATGGGAGCACTGGAATAGAGATGCACATGACCACATCCATTTTTTTTTTTTTTGGTTTTTTCAAGACAGGGTTTTTCTGTGTAGTTTTGGTGCCTGTCCTGGATCTCACGCTGTAGACCAGGCTGGCCTTGAACTTACAGAGATCCTCTTGGCTCTGTCTCCCAAGTGCTGGGATTAAAGGCGTGTGCCACCACCACCCGGCTTACCACATCCATTCTTAGTGTGGGTTTCAGGCATCAAACTTGGCTTGCACGACTAGCACTTTTGCCTACTGAGTCATCCAGCTAGCCCTTAATAAAATATTTCTTAATGTAACAAAGTAGATTTAAAAAAGAATTAAAGAATGCTATGTATCAGCAGCTGCAGTTGCCTGCTTGAGACCTGCTTAAGATCAAGCCAGTCAGACTTCTAGCGTGGTGGGATGGAGCTCATGATCTATTGACAGTTGATGACTTCTGGAAAGGGAGACACAGTTTTCTTTATAGGTAGGGCCTCTGAAAGGTCAGCTGTGCTCCAGTGGGTGGTCCCACACCCAAGAGTATGATCAGTACAAACTGGACTCAGGATATTGAAAAGAAAAAAAATGGAGCTGGAGGGAAGTCTCAGTGGTTAAGAGCACCTGCTGCTCTTTCTGAGGACCTGGATTCAATTCCCAGCACCCACTCCAGTGCCAGTGGACCAGTCCCTCTCTTCTAGTCACTGTGGGTACCAGGCATGTATACAGCTAAGCATACATGAATATAAAATAAAAATAAAGTAAATAAATCTTAAAGTTGGGAGGAGTTGAGAAGGTATGGAGGGATCTAGGAGGAGTTAGGGGGAGAGTACGGATTGAATATGATCAAAATACTTTGTGTGCAATTAATAAAAATATTATGTTAAAAGAATCCTGTGTAGGCTGCTTTAACAGCTATGTGATTCAAGTTCATGGGCTCACACTGTCAGCCATGGAGGACAACGCACAGCACAGATACCATTAGTTGCTTTGATAGCAGGGAAAATGCAGGCACCGAGGGAGGACTTCAAGACTTAAATACCTTAGCATTGCTGTGACATCTACCTTGTGACCAGTGGACATAGACAATTCAGGATTTGATTGTTGTCAATTCATGAACTTGGTGTCATAGAGCATGGTCTTCACATTAACCTCTGTCTGCAGTGGGTCAGAAAACACAACACTGATTCCCTATCACAGATGGTTTGAAAAGTGCTGATTCAATGCAAGTTATTTCCAGTTGAGCATCCCATGAAGATAACTATCCTGATTCCTCAACAAGATGTAAGCAAACACTACTGGTGTGTAGGACAGAATACATGTCCTGCATTCTCTTTTATGTGTGAGGCATGCATGTATGTGTGTATGCATGTTATCCTGGGTATGTGTGTGTGTGTGTGTGTGTACATGTGGAGGTCTGAGCTTGGTCCTGGGAATCCTTTTTAATTAATCTCCCACCTTATTCATTAAGACAGGTTCTCTGCATCAAACCCAGATCTTGACAATATAGACGTTGTCACTCCTGGAATTACAAGGGTACCACTACTCACATGTGGCATCTGCATGGATTCTGAGGATCTGAAATCCAACCTCTTGCTTTCCTCCTGGCATTTGCATCGATTCTGGGGAGTCTGAACTCTATAGTTATCTTACTTATGTGACAAGTACATTAACCACAGAACAATCCCTTAGCCCATGGTCTGCATTTTTAACAATGGAGCTACTGTACTTTGGAAAGTGGCTAGTCCAATTGAGTTATGTGCAATACCAGATACGTACTAGATCTCTAAGACTTGAAACGAATTATGGAATGTGAACTAATTCATTAAATGTTTTGGTGTTGATAGCAGACTGAAATGATAGTATTGTAGATGTATTGGGTATGAGATATATTAATAAGTTAAATTTGCTTTATTGTTACTACAGTATATTTTTACTGATAAGATTCATTCTTTGACAATTTTACACATGTCCATAGTATTTTATGATTACTCTCTCCCCCATTCTCTCATCTTTCCCCCACTCCTTCCAGCTCCTGACTTCCCTACAAATCTCTTTCCAAAATCCATGGCTTTTGTTTTGTGTCCCCCTGCATTTAAGCTGGGCCATCTGTGTAATCCTGCGTTCAGAGCCCTCATTTGACTCTGGTGGACTCAGCAGATACCATGCCTTCCCCTCACATAGTCTGTTAGTTGCCAGTACTTCAGCAGTAAGTGGTAAGACCCCACCATGAGCTCCTCCCTGATCCAAAGCTCACTGTCGGCTGGGACATTCGTTTGTAGTCCCAGTGCCAGTAATGACATCAGATATGAATTCATGACCTCCATGAGAGTGCCATGCTTAAAAGAATATATTCTGCACCCCTTCTTTCTGTCTTTGGGCTCTTACATTCCTTCCACGACACCTCTGTAATGATCTCTGTGATAACCTCCTTAGGATGTGGTGTGAATATCTTGTTTGGGACTAAGCCTTTAAATCATTTGTTCTCAGCATCTTGTCTGGCCACAAGTTCTGCATTCCCTTGTATCCACTGCAAAGAGAGGTTTCTTCTCTAATTTGGGATAAGAGTATCCTTTGTGGATATAAACATTGACGTGTAGAAGGCAGCTTGATGTTATACCTGTTCAGCTAAGCAACAGTGTAGTATGTTTTCCCACTGGTTCCTAAGACCCCCTCAGTCACAAGTGTTTGACTGGGAGCACAGTACCAGGAATGAATTCTTTCTCATTGGGTGGGCCTCAAATCCAAGCAGAGAGTTGTTGGTTACTCATATAATATTCATACCATTATTGTACCAGTGGGCACATCGTGCCTGACACGTTGCTAATGTGGTTCCTAGAGTTCACAGCTGGGTAAAACCATTAATGCCCTTACTCCATGCAGCAGCCTGTGTAGCACTGTTCTACCATGAAAGGTAGCCAACAGGAAGGAAGCTTCCAGCTCAATGGCAGTTTGATTTATCTATACTTTCATTCAAGGTGTGTGGTATCTTCAGGAACAGGGTCTCCCAAACCAACAGCCACAGAGGTATTCCAGACCTAAAACTGAAAAATTTATTTAGTGGTCCATTGCTTCTAGGGCTGGCATTATCTATCCATGGGAGGCATCTGCCATCAAATTCTTTTATGTTTTTAGATTGGATTACAAGGTAGCAGAGAGAGCAAGTTTCTAGGTGGCTTCTCATATCCCCTTTATTTTGATTAACCCCTCCCCATTCTCCCATCTCCCCATCTTCTATCCTTCATGCTGACTAAACCTTTCCACTTCCAACAACCTCCCTACCCACCCACATTTTACTTACATGTTACTATTTCCCCTCCCTTGGGGTAACTTCTGCACAACTGCTCTCTTTCTAAACTCTGGAAGCTGAGAGAGTATAGAAAACTTAAGATGGCATGCTCTGATTGTGTTAGATATGGCTGTTCCATGGGCTCGTCAGTAGAAAGCTCAGGGCTGTGGTTTTCTGTACTGTACCAAGCAGCTCTGTAACATGGTGCCTGGCTTGCCTCTCTTCTCCTCCCTGCCCCTGCTGCTCCTCTCCAAGGAGCTCTCTTAGTTACTGAGTAGGGCATTTATGTGCTCGCTTATCACTTTGTCACACAGATTAACTACAAGGCTGTTGGCTCACTGGATCCAAGCGCTGACCTGTCCAGCCAGAGGGGGAAAGTGTTCAAACTCCGGAATGAAACTCACCACCTCTTTGTGGGTCTGTACCCAGGGACCACCTACTCCTTCACCATCAAGGCCAGCACAGCCAAGGGCTTCGGACCCCCTGTCACCGCTCGGATTGCCACCAAGATCTCAGGTATCTCTTTTAGAGAGAGCAAAGGTGGGGTGGGGGGTAGGTTACACTCCTGTCTCCTTCAGTCTTCATAATATCCTGGAGAAAAAAAAAAACAGCCGACTATCACTGATAGCAATGGAACAATTTACACAATGACATCACTGTTGGGTTGAAGAAAGTCCAATTGATAAACTTTCTGAAGTTCACCAAATAACATGCCCTGGGGTGGAAGTAAAAAGAGAGAGAGAGTGTGTGAGAGCAAGAAGGAGAGGGGAGAAGAGGAGGGGGGCACATAAAAGTTGGTTTGTATAGAGAATACTTTCCAATATAAGACACCCACAGCACCAGCTCTCATGAAATGTCTGATGAGTGAATGAATGAATGAATGAATGAATGAATGACTAAGCTCAGTAGTCCAAGATTGCAAACTGTCTCTACCACTAGGGTGTACCTGATGAGCATTAAAACAGAACCATTGCAGAATGCTTATTTACAGCTTCCATATCTTGGAATATCTATTCAATATGGTCTGCATGCATATGTATTTTGCATGTGGTTTTGCAGAAGCCACGGTATTTTGTAGCTTAATGTTTCCACTTATCCTCATCCCATAATATTTCCCACACTGTTGCATTGCTTTCATTATAATGTCTGTCAACTGGATGGACGTAATTTAATTAAGCAGTCCCTTGTGGTTGAATATATTTGGTGTTTCTACGTTTTTATAAAATAGCGCTTCAATAAACATGTTACAAAATAAAGTTTAAATCGTTGATTGGGATTATAACTTTAGGATTAAATTCAGAAATTGAAAAAAAGCATTAAAAGAGATGTAGGTTTTAATAGCTCATAATACAAATGGCTAAATTACCCTTTCAAAGGATTAGATTTAGTCACATTCCTGTGGGGGGAGAGGGTCTTGTGAAAAAAATGGAACTAATTCATCTTTGCTTTAATTTGCATCTAAATGTGTTTAACGAGGTTGACTCTGTTTTCACATCTTTATAAAGTACTTACATATCCTGCACGTTCCTTTTTTCTGCATGGGAGAGGCGCTTTTTGATGATGCTCATGCTCACACCCCTTTAGACTCTTGCACCTGGAGAAAAGCTGCAGATGGGAAGTCAAGGCCTCCCATGCTGAAGGCCTCTGATACCACAGGGTTCTCACTCACTACCGCTCTTCAGCTAGGCTGGGATCAAGGGGATGTGTCGAGAGGCGTTTGGTACCTGTACTCCTCAAGTCCAATTTCTCTCTCTTGCCCAGCTCCATCGATGCCTGAATACGATGCAGATACACCACTTAATGAAACGGACACGACCATCACAGTGATGCTTAAACCTGCCCAGTCACGGGGAGCCCCAGTCAGGTGAGGAGCTATCATTTGTGGCTTTCTTCCTCTATACCTCATGCATCTCCAGATGAATCACATGACTGGCAATGTGCCTGGATGAGATAAGCCAGAAGCCAGATTTTCCATAAGGAAGATGGTCAGCAACTCTAAGCCCAATTCAGAGGCAGAAACTGAGCCAGGGTCTTCTCTCCCCACAGTAAACATCAGTTTAGAGAGAACATCCTGGTAGGGACCCGAAATGATGGAACTTTCTGGAGTGGTAATTAATGAAAATGTAGTTAGTGGGTGGAAAACTTAGACACAATAATCTTTGCAATAATTACCACCAGACTCACTGCCATAATAGACACACAGACAGACAGGCATGCAGGCAGGCAGGCATGCAGACTGTATTCTCCAAAGAATTTGCTCACATATTTGAAATAGGATGAACTACAGGGGCTGGTTCAGTCCAGAGCTATGAGGTGTTAGAGTACCACAGGGGCTATGCCTTTAGGATCACACTGCTTGTTTTAATGAGAATTTGTTAGGGCCCAAATGGGCACCCAGGCACCAAGAACATCTCATTAGCTAGGTTGACTTGTACAAGTTCATGGCTATCAGAATGGGCTGGCATTTATTTTAAACAAGATCTCCTTTGTACAAGGCAACAATATTGACTACTGATTTTGATCAGAACTCCAGGTCTCAGGATCTCAGTCCATTGAAATGAGTAGAATGTTAGGTAGAACTTACAGATTGGTTCAATTCAGTCCAACAAGCATGAACCAGGTACCTTATGTGGGTGGGATGTGGGGGCTGGAGACAACAATGATTCACTGAGCACACATCTTCATTAGTTTAAGTGCTTGGGATAATGGTATCAAACTAGTCATGTGTTCAAAGGAAGCCAACCTGTAGTTAAAAAAGCAGACGTACAGAATAGTTACAATGCTGCCTTATGGAAATCTTCACAGGGGCTTGTAAACACTCAGAGAAAGCTCCCAGAGAAGGTGACACTCAGTTGTATAAGGTTTGACTTGTTGCAAGTGTTCAGTATGGATCAGGATGGTTTGTTCAAAAAGGAAACAGCCATGCCTAGTTAAGTTTGCTGTAATGTAAAGAGCAAAGGCAGAGTGGTGATATGGAAAGGAAACTATGTCTGAGAGGCTCGGGCTGATTTGAGGACCATGGGGATCTGCCATGGATTGGCTTTGAAAAGCAGCATCACCTTGCATGCCCCTGGGCTCTAGGAGACCAGCCTAGAAGGAGGCTCTTGAGATACATAGTCCTGATCTTCATTCTCAACCCTCATTCACGTCTACTAAGAAATGATAATGGTAGGATCAACAGAATAAACCAACAAAAATGCAGAAGTTCTTGCCTAGTATGAAGCTGGATACTGGTGCGCTTTACTAGGCCCCGGAAATATGGCCCTGCGGCAGGTTGGGATGATGCTCATGGGCCTCTCACTATAGGATGTCAGAACTGTCCTTCCTTTGACAATCCAAAGCAGATGCTGGCATTTCAAACCAAGGTTTTTATTCCCTGCTTTCCTTCCAACTGCTCTGATACGTTGTCCTCATTTAATTTCCCATATATATTATGAGATGGTGTCTTCATTTTCAGACAAGGAAGCTGAGATGCAGAAACAAGGCAAAGGGACCTTAAAGAGCCACATTGTATTGCTTTGTGACCATCATCTTATTATCAGCATACTCTCTGTATGCTCATCAAATTCCTGTAAAGCACCCGCCCACACACACACACACACACACAGACTTTGAAGAACAAGACAAACCGAAGCTAATGAGTTAACTTAGACCATGAAACAAGCGGGCTAGGCAAGACAGAAGCCTGGTTCTGACCCTAGCTCCACATTCATTTTACGGAACCTCGCCATCTTGCTAGGAGGATGGTATGTATGACATGGTTTGCTGACATTTCCATCTTTAAACATTAAAGGAAATGTCACTGCTCAAAGGGGAAACGGTTGGTGTCTAGGAATCTCTGGCTGCCTTCCTTCTCGGGGCCCTGGTTCACTGAGAGTGGGTGTACCCTCTGTGTCTGGGATTATTTTCAGACCAGAGCCTGGGCATTTGCCAAGAAGGGGAGGAGACGAAGCAATGGCGTAAAGGAGGCCTTTCAGGACAACTGCCATGAGAGCAGAAACACCACTGTATATTTCAGTTGCAGTGGCCTGACTCCACCTGGGCTTGAATCCTAGTCATGAGGACAGGAATCTTGGAGGTATATGGCCACACAGATATTTATTGAGTACTTACTATGTCCCAGGAAGTGAGCTAAGTAATTTGGGTATAGCATGAAGCAAGAAAGGCTCACTCTGCCTTCTTGAGGCTTATCATCTTGCAAGTGTGTCACAGAATAGATCAGGAGGTGAGACAATAAGCCTATAAGTAGACAAATAAAGTCACAAAACAAATCAATATGACTGTCCAGACTGAAAGAACTGTGAGCGAGGTGGAAAGATGAACTACATGTGGGAAAGTTGGCACTGAGGTGCTCTGTAGGCTGGGAACTGGGAGCAGGTGAGAAAGCAACCTGGGACCCAAAGGCTTGCTTCAAGCCTTTGGCCAAAGATGACCCGAATCATATTTGAAAGTGGAGAAGATATCCTAATACCTGATAACATAGTATGGTAAATGTAGTAGACAGCAATTTATAACATTTTTCACATAACTAGAAAAACATTAACATTCCCAACACATAGAAATGATGTTTCAGAAGCCCAGTTATCCTTAATCAATCATGATATATGGTATGTTCAGGTATCGAATTATTATTTGTACCCAGTAAATAAGTACAGCTATTATATGTCAATTTAAAAATAACCATATTTAAGAAAATAATTTGGTACAGCAAGATGGCTCAGCAGGTAAAGGTGCTTATCATCAAACCCAAAGATGGGAGTTCAATTCCTGGGATCCACACAGTGGGTGGAAAGACCAGATGCATGCAAGTCATCCTCTGACCTTTAAACTTACGTGTCCCTCTCTCCCCCCACAGATCAACAAATATAAATGTATAAAAAGACTTCACTATTAATAATATTTTTTCTTCTGTTACATGGTCTGACTCTAAGTATTCTGGTAGATAAATTAGTTGGGAAAGACCATCTCTTATTTCAGAGAGAGATTGAAGTCTGTGGTGTTAAGTGATGTTCAAGGTCCTGGCAGATAAAGCCAGTTGTTTTGTTAATTTTCTCATGGCTGTCACAGAACACAAGACCAAAACAATTTAAAGAAGGAATAGTTTCTTTGGGGTCACAGTTCAAGGGTATAGTCTGCCATGGCAGGAAAGTCATGGTTATAGGAGACTGAGGCAGGTCCCATTGTATCCACAGTCAGGGAGCAGTGAGTGATGAATTCTGATGGCCATTTCACTTTCTCCTCTTCATTCAATCCAAGACCTCACCCTGTGGAACGGTGCTGCCCACATTTAGGATAGGTCTTTATACCTCAATTAATACATTCTAGAAACCCCCTCACAGAGGCAGAGATTTGTCACCTGGTCATTCTAGAACCTTTCAGGTTGACAACTTGTGTTACTATCAGATAGTTGAACATAGACCAGGCTCTGAGGTCGTTGCTTCTCAAGTAGTTGTGGCTTCCCATCCTACTGTGTCAGGGGAATCTGGAAGGACTTTTGGGGGTGGTGCAGTATAGTCATATCTTTTGCCTTCTTGGGAGATGACTTCTGGGGGGTCCTCTAACTGGATTGTGTGGGCCCAACCTATAACCTGTTCCTCTGTTTTATTCTACTTAATTATCACAGATTCATAACTAAGCCTTGGCCTCCAGGCCTCTAGACAGTCTTTTCTTCCTCCAACCCATAGTGCTTAACTGCTGACAAAGCCAAATTCCAGCCTCCCACTCTTTAGAAGCCTCCCGAGTTTGACTCCTTCTCAGAGGGCTGAGAATTCAGAGCTAGAAGGAGGGGAGCATTGAGGAGCCCACTGCATGAGGTTCTTGTCCCCTCACCCTGCAGCCAAACCACCTCAGCAGCTTGGCCTATTTTTCTAATACTCCACAATGGAGATTTATTGCTTTTGTATTGCTCTCCTCGGGCCTTCAAAGATTTATTGGTTTTTAAGTGACAGAATCCCAGAATTGCTTAAAAGATCAATCAAATGGTGACTAGAATCTAATATTCAGCCCCGACTCGAACACGCTGAGCCTTCTTCCCCCACGCCCCACCTGTCACACTGATGTATCTGTGGTAACCTTCATAAGAAAGTAACTTGCCCATGAATTAATCACCCGTAATGCAGTCCCTGCAGTGAGAATGGGGGCTCTGCAACAAAATTTGTGAGGGATGCTTCTCATCTACAGCAGGCTTTCTTGAAAGGATCCTTTCCTGTTCTCTCCTCTCTTATCCATTTAGTCACCTGCCTTGTCCCTTGACTTGCAGATCAGCCCTGGATGGAGACACTGTTTCTCCAGCCCTATTCTCCTGGTCAGCAAGCACACCCTTGCTGATATGTCTGTCAAGAGCATCTCTCTCTCAGGTCCATCCCCCACCAAACTGCTAGAGTGGTCCCTGGGAAGCACAAATTGGATCAACTTAGCTTCCCTGCTTAAAATTCTTAAATGGGTCACTAGTTTTCTATTGCATTAAGTTCAAGCTTCTTAGTATGAAATTCAAGGCCTGTCAGCATCTAGCCTTAACCTTATTTCTAGTTTCATTTAAATTCACTCTGCCCCTTCACCAGGTTTTACTCAACAGTGACCCATGTGATTCCTTTGTGGTTCTTCCCTGAGCTTTTAACTGTGTTATGCATGAATTTGTAAGCTTCCTTTGTTATGAATTTTTGTTTGTGGTTTTGCTTTAGATTTGTTTGTTTTGGCCCCAAGAGATTTGAAGGCTTGGGTCTCCTTCACATGGGATAATGTCTAGTCCACAGTTGATGCAAACAGACTAACAAAAATATGAAAGCAAAGCAAACCAAGGAAAACCCAACAAGTAGTTACTAAAGTGTGTGATTATTTAATTCAGCAAATTTGTCATGCCAACCT